AACAATTTATAAATAAATGTTGAATAAATTGATTAATTTATAAATAAATGGTGAATAAATTTAGCAATTAAAAAATAAGAGTTGAATAAATTTTGTAATTTATAAATAAATGTTGACTAAATTTAGCATTTTATAAATAAACGTTGAATAAATTGAGCAATTTAAAAATAAAAGTTGAATAAATTGAGCAATTTATAAATAAAAGTTGAATAAATTGAGTAATTTATAAATAAATGTTGAATAAATTGAGTAATTTATAAATAAACGTTGAATAAATTGAGTAATTTATAAATAAAAGTTGAATAAATTGAGTAATTGATAAATAAAAGTTGAATAAATTGAGTAATGTATTCACCCTTGTTGTCCATAGACACTCAGGGACCAGATCAATGTCCACTGATGGACAGACAGGTGGACATGGGACAACTCTGTTGGTTGAATGTGTAAATGATTACATAGGAGACAGAACTGGTCTGAGATGAAACCAAATAATAAAATAAAATGATGTAAATGATTTCATGGAACCTCGAGTAAAATAAAATATTTCTTCTAAAAGCGGAACTGAACCTGGAGCTCTGAGGTCAAACCTCTTCCTTTATTGAAAAACATTTTACCACATTAATAAAAGTTGTGTTTATGTACCAACACTTTTCCTCCAGTTTCACTCATAGGGATGGAGAGACGTGTTCCCTGAGTACATTTATGAACCAACGTTTTAGGACTGAAACGTTGGAATCGAGGTTTTCAAAAGTTATTTTAAATCTAAACGGCGCCTCGTTCAGTGTGTATTCATCGTGTTCACTGACGTGTAACATCATCCTATTGGAAATGATTGAATAGATCACTTTTTATTTGATTAACTGTGTCATCTGAGAGCCAAGTGGTGATAATGTTTTCTCCTATACCATTGAGTATGTTTGTCTGTTAGCAAAATATTAAATAAATCATTGAACAGATTTTGAAGAATCTTTCAGAAGTTGATTACTGGGTTGTCGTCTACAGATGATTAACCTTTGGAGTCAAGATGGCCACCACAGCAATTTTAGCTAAAACAACAACGTCTGTTAGTCACTGAGTTTTACAGATATTGAGTTAAAATTTGGTGTGGTAGTAGCTGAGAGTCCTCTTCAAGCTTTACTCTAAGCAATGACTCAGTGTCATATAAGATAGGTGTGGGTTTTTTCCCAAGGTTTGACTAAAACAGCTGCAACTCCATCATTTCTCAGCACTGGATGATTTTCATTGAAAACTGGAATGAAAGGTGGCGGGCGATCTGCATTCCTTCAAGAACTCTGCTAAAAGATCTTAAGTTGAACTTTATCTTTGAGAAAATAAGAGAAGTGATTTCAGCTGTAATTTATTTTTGTCCGTATCAGTTGTTTTCTGTAATTGTGTGCATGAAGTGAGGAAGATGAAGAACAAAAGAAGAACTGTCAGGTCTAAAAGAAACATCTCCGACAGATAAACCGTCAGCAGGTCCTCCAGTTTTTCAGTTTCATTACAACAGGTGTGTTTTTGCCTGGTTTCAAGTGTTTTGCATGACTTTAAGCATCATTGATCCTCGGAGTTTAGGTTCCTCTGTTACAGAAAGTCTGAAGAGTTTTCTTGATCTCAGACTGAAAACTGAACCAGGATGATGTTTCTAACAACCCTGATGAACTCCATCAGTGGCAGCACATCTGGCTCTCACTTTAACCATCAATGTATTGTTCATGTTGGAGCGATTTAGAGCCAAAAACCCTTCAGTCTGAAAGCTGCAGCTGCAGAGAGTTCATGAAGTCTCTGATAATAAGAGGTTCAGTAAACACAAGAGTCATCCAGCAGAAACACAGAAAAACTGAATCAAACACAGTTTATTACAAACTTTCTCTAAATCCTGTATTATTGAGAACACAGCTTTTGTTAAAACCATTTTACTTGTAAAACATACTTACAAAATGATTACATCTTATGCACTTTACTTAGACCTGTCTAAAGCTTTTGACACTGTGGACCATGACATCTTGTGTCATAAACTCTCGGAAAGTGGTCTCTCAGAACACACTATTGATTGGTTCTCTAACTATCTCTCAGATCAGAGCCAATGTGTTCAACTTAATGGTACTTCCTCCAGCTA